TCTCTCTCTCTCTCTTTATTTATTTTAACTAAGACTAGGTTCATAGGAGCTGTCAAATGACGAACCCAGTGAAACTGCAATCAAAAGCTGTTATCCTAGCTCACCTCATCTAAATCCTGCTCCTAGAAATTAATTTATTCAATGCGAATGCACTTTTAAGCTATCATATAGGAAATGATCATATAAGGAACCTTGTGAAACTGCAAGAAAGAGCTGTAATCCTGCCTCAGCTAATTTGAAACCTACTCCTAGAGATTCATTTATTTCATTATCTGTTATATGCATCAGTAGGAATAATCTTTATTCATTATCATCATTAGGTAACAATCATATAATGAACAGGATGAGCCTGTAGCCCACTGCATGCCAGAGCCTTCATGCGATCAGTTGACCTGATATCCCGTGTATCAACCTGGCGAGTGAACAAGTTTCAGATGAGATTCAGCCTAGGAGAGAATGATCGCTGATGGAGTGATGTTCTTGAGAAAGGCACTTCCGGCATGAGACTATTGGAGGTTGAGAGCCTAGTGCTACGGGTGGCCACTACTGGTGCACCACCGAGTGGTGCCAGATGCAGAACTTTGATTGTTGGCCTTGTACATAACAGTAAGACAACCAACGTCACAACGGTGTTGCTGTCTCTTATGTTCAGATCGTTCCCACCAGACTTGGTCAAGACTAGTGATGAGCATTTAATCCCATCTCTCCACTTTGTCCAACAGTTTGATGAATGATGGGGGGGGGGGGGGGGAGGCGATCCAGGAAAAGGGGTGCATACTTTAGATGAGAGCGAACTTGTGCTTCATATAATGAATTTCAGCCTTTGCTGTCAAGGAGTGAGTTGAGCCGTAGGACTGTAGGTTTCCTGGCTGCCTTTTGAGCAAAGGTTAAGCACATGTCTCTTCATTGTCATTAAAGAGCAGAACTTCCATCCCAATTTTTTTTTATTAAGATATGAGGTTCATCTGCATTAGTGCAGCTACCCTAGACTATATGAAGTGGAGTACAGTGTGTCAAAAAAGCTAACTAGGTGATGCTAAAAAATCCCCATCACACAGGGTGGTTAGTCATACAGAGGCACGTGATAAGCAGTCTGCACTGGCAGACTCCGGATGCATTTTGAGGATATCATCAACACAAGATTGAATAAGGTAGCAGTGGTAATACAAGTCCCTATCTCGCAGGATGGTTAGACATACAGAGCCAAGTGTTTAGTAGCCTGCACGGGCAAATTTTGGGTACCTCATGCTCCAGGTACCTCATGCCAACTGGTCTGAAAGGTCTAATAACTGGGCATTCAGTGATGTAGTGCGGGAGATCGTGCCGTAGTTCCTGCTCACAGAGTTTGCAACTGGAGTGCTCAGGATTGGGAGATCCGTCACCTGCAGCCACCTGCCACAGGTAACGGTAACCTAACCTGATCCTTGCAACCACTGTGTCGCACAGTCTAGTGGACGTTTTGTGCTGCCCATAGATGTAGGTTTCAGAACTGAACAAATCATAGCTTTTTATACTAGTACTTTCAGGACGTTGGGAGTCAGTAAGTTCTTTCCTATCAGATCTGAATGTTTGGACCAATACAGTTTTGACAGCAGAGATGGTGATACCTAGATCTAATTCAACTTCAAACTTGTTACACGCTAATTTGGCTGCAATGTCTGTCTCATTATGATGGGTTATATTTATGTGTGAAGGTATCCATACAAAGGAGATTCGAGACCCTTTACTCTGTGCATCAATTAGGTCATTTATAATTGGGAGTATGAGGTTCTTGCTGTCGATCTTCCAAGAGAAGTTTTCGATTGCTTGAAGAGCAGACTTTGAATCACAGAATATTATTCCTCCTCCAATGTTTTTTAATGTACTTGTAGCAAAGTGTAATGCTGCTAGTTCTGCTTGTGTGGAGGTCAGCCAGTTGTTTAACCTGACACTGACAGTCTTTGTGTAAATATTATTTCTATAAAACCTACATGCCACTGCAGTCCGTCCAGTAGAGGATTGGACTGAGCCGTCGGTGTAGACACAGTGCTCGTGAGATCTTAAACTCTCGATGGAGGAGGCAATTGTTTCAAGAGTGACAGCTTTGAGAAGAGCAAGATTCTCGTTATCTTTCATACCAATATGTCAATTTCACTTTTAAACTCTAGGGGTTTTGCCACCCATTTGCAAGCCAGTCCAATTTGCTATGTACAGTCTAGTTACCATCATCGCTTGTGTCTTCTCAACCGCAAATGTGACCTTCCATCTCCTACCCCAGGTAGAAATCGCTGAAGGTTAACGATTAATGATACTTGCAGCAGTTGGCATTTCTTCCTTTCTGTATTGGAAGGTTAGAGTGCAGTCATCAGCATAACCTTGAGCTTCAGGAAAGAGATAAAGTAGATCGTTGAAATAAACATTCAACAGCAGAGAGCGCAAGCATACTACCCAGTGGAAAGCTGGCACCAATTGAGTGGCTATCGGATTCTGCTCCATTGGGGACTACCTTTAGAGTTCGTTCTTGAAGGTAGTCTTTTATTAACTCTAAGATGGAGCCTGAGATTCCTAGTGCTTGAAGCTTCACTGCTAATCCAGAGTGCCAAACCCGATCAAAGGCTCCTGCTATGTCTAGAGCAACAACACAGCTGATCCTGGACTCATCCAGTGACTGATGCCACTTAGAGGAGAGATTTAGCAAGAGATCAGCAGCAGATCGGCCTTTTCTATAACCATACTGTCGATCACATATCAGCGGATGATGATAACAAAATTATATCATTTGCTGAGCGATTCATGATTCTAGGATATTGCCACTACTTGGAGAGTAGTGACACTAGTCTGTAGTTACCAATCACTGAGCGGGTCTTCTTTTTGTATACTGGAATAACATCTGCCTTATGCCATAAGGAGGGCCAAATTCCTTGAGTTAGGCAGAGTTGGAAGAGGTACGTGAGAGGTGGAGCCAACAGGTCAGCGCAGCTGCGTAGTAGTCTTGGACTGACCTTGTCTGGCCCCACAGCTTTATTGTGTCTAGCGTTTTAAGGAGATGGAGAACTTCAGCCTGCTGTATAACCACTTCAGTCATACTACACACAGTGCTTGGGGCAAAATGTGGAAGTTAACGTTCAGGATCAGGGATTTGCCTCTTGGCAGCAAAGTGGTTTGCCAGTAGATCAGCCGTCTCCTGATTGCTGGTTGCACCAGTTCCATCCTCTTGGTTTAGAGAAGAGATCCGATCCTGGCCGATCCTTCACCAGGGACCACCAGACCTTGGATCCAACCCTTTCAGATGCAAGTTTTCTTCGAGTTTCGAATTCGCATCTGGATATAGCCCACTTTTGAGCTTCCTTCATTATTCGACAAGATTGTCTATGAATGTTTCTGTTATGAACCGAGGGAAGCAGTTTAAATCTCCTCCAGGCCTTTTTTTTTTTTGGTTTCAGCTGCCATCTGGCAGCGATATCCAAACCAAGACTGATCACCTCGATCTTTCGGGATAACCAGTGCAGTAAAGACAGCCAGGTGGTCTGAAGAACCAACTTAGCCCAGAGGTCGGCAGTGAACTATGCTTGCAAGAAAGTCAGTCACGACAGGATCGACGGATGAGCCTGATATGTGCGTTGGAAAGCTGACAAATTTTTTCTATTTTGAAGACTGCTAAGAGTTCATGAAAATCCCTCTTTATAAGATACTGGTTATCACCAACAATTATAATGTGCTGACAGTTGTGCTGCATTAGCAGGGAGTCTAGGTTGTTCATCAGGAAGGTGATTGGGGAAGCACCCTGCCATTGAGGTCTGTACATTGCACATAAAAGTATTGAGGTACCTGAATTTATGCAAATTTTGAAGAACATAAATTCAAGATGACCCTGGATGACCTAAAAAACTGGTTGGGCATGCACAGATTTGCTGATACACACTGCAACACCCCCTCCTTGACCCTGCCTGTCTAGGCGCATCCATGAGGTATTACCGGCAACTGTAGCAAAGTTCTTAGGAGTCCTGTCATCTAAAAATGTTTCAAACACAACATCCACATCAGGACTATGAGTGTTCACAAAACTGTGTGTGTGATCGCCAGCGTTGGTAATGTTGGTAAGTATTCTCTCTCTCTAAGAGAATCTCTCTTCTCATATATAACTTCTTATTCTCTCTCTTATACTCATTCTCTCTAAGGACAGGTAAGGATTCTCTCTCTCTCTCTCTCTCTCTCTCTCTCTCTCTCTCTCTCTCTCTCTCTCTCTCTCTCTCTCTCTCTCTCTCTCTCTCTCTCTCTCTCTCTCTCTCTCTAATTGGTGATAAGTGCGGTCCCCGTCGCACAATGGTAAAACAATTACCCCGCGCTTCCCAATCGCTTTGGCCTGGGTTCGAATCCTAGCTGGGAAGGATTGGCTGGGTGCCAATCCTTAACTCTAGACTCTGATCACTCAGCAGTGAATGGGGTACCTGGTTGCTAAACGATTTGGGGGGTCATATTCCGGGGAATATTAAGATTAAGGATCTGCCCGAAACGCTAAGCGTGCTATTGTCTTTGCAAGAATGTAAGAACTCTTGTATATATAACAAAAAATAAATGCCCACACTCCTGAGAAGCATACGTTTAAGTCTTCGAACACCTGTATTGTATCTGTGAAGATCAGTGCTATTTAAACGTCCGAACATAATTATTCACACGTAACAACAAAATTACTTACACTAGCAATTATTCACACACATAACAACAAATGATTAACACAAACAATTATTCCCATATATATAATTTCTCTAACATACAATCATAATTACTCACAGACATAAATATATTCACACACAAATATGTTCACAAACAAAATTATTATTCACATATACAAATATAATAATTAACACAAAAATATAACTATTCACTCAACACTTACTTACTCAGAAACATTATTTTAAGAAATAACACACATGATGTCATAAATTTACTTACCAAAAGATTACAACAATGCATTAGTGAATGAAAGTTGGTAAAGATAAAATGAATTAAATCATAAATACCTTTTGTTGACTACATGAAGAAAAGGACTGTTTTTCTGCAGAACGAGAGAGAAAATGAACCACAAGTACCCTTCTTTGGATTTGTAAAAATCACATCTTCCTGTCAAAATAAATATCTTCCTATAGAGGGCGAAACAAACATATTCATATATATAAATTATAGACATTATGGTTGATGCTGTACACATAAGTTATTAGATATGGGTATGTATATAAATCATGTTTCCCATATTCCTTCTGCCTCTAAAAAATTCAAAGTAAATTATGTTAAATCTTAAATTAGCTTATTTTTCTTATTTGTGGTAAGGACACCACAACCACTGTTCATTCAGGTGAGTACACCATACCCACTGTAGCTTCAGGTGAGGGGCACCACTCGACTACAACTGCATTAATTGAGTATGCCACACCCAACTCGTCCTTAGACCTAGTCCATTCTATCCAGAGGTCGACCCCAAAGACGCATTCATCAATTTAACTTGCTGTTCATCCAAAACAGAACTTTTCTCAAATATAAATTATTATTATTATTATATATTATATTATAATAGCATATTATAGAGCATATTGTGCTTATTTAGGCACTGGCTAGGATAGGTTCTGTTGCCGATTATTTGTATTTGTAGTATGTGGGTGAACAATCCGTCCTCGACTCAAGTCCATTACATTCAGCGGTCGACCCCACAGACGCATTTATAAATTTTAACATGCTGTTCATTCAAAACGGGAATTTTCTCAAGTATAAATTAATATTGTAATATATTGGCATATTGTGTATATATAGGCATAGGATAGGTTAGGTCAGGTGTTTAGGTTCTGTTGGCGTTTACTTGTATTTGTAGTACGTGGGTGAAGCATTTACAGCGTTGTGATTCGAACAAAATTCGTCAGTGAAGCACTTGTTCCGGATATGTTCGAACGTCAGCAGTTGTGAGTTGTGTGTAAACCGTTTTTCATCCATAAACAGGGGGTTTGGCGGGTGCATGGAATCACTTTTGGATCTTTGTTTGGAGGACGGGCTGGGGTGAAACATTTACCAACCCGTCCTCGACTCAAGTCCATTACATCCAGCGGTCGACCCCACAGACGCATTCATAAATTTTAATATGCTGTTCATTCAAAACGGGAATTTTCTCAAGTATAAATTAATATTAAAATATATTAGCATATTGTGCATATATAGGCATAGGTTAGGTGTTTAGGTTCTGTTGGCGATTATTTGTATTTGTAGTACGTGGGTGAAGCATTTATAGCGTTATGATTCGAACAAAATTCGTCAGTGAAACACTTGTTCCGGATATGTTCGAACGTCAGCAGTTGTGAGTCGTGTGTAAACCGCTTTTCATTCATAAACAGGGGGTTTAGCTGGTGCATGGAATCACTTTTGGATCTTTGTTTGGAGGATGGGCTGCATTTACAACGTATTGATTCGAACAAAATTCGTCAGTGAAGCACTTGTTCCGGAAGTGTTCGAAGGAAATCAGTTGTGAGTCGTGTGTAAACTGTTTTTCATTCATATACAGGAAGTTTGGCGGATGCATGGAATTTTTATTGGGTCTTTGTTTGGAGGAGGGGCTGTATTTATAGCAACCCGTCCTCGACTCAAGTCCATTACATTCAGCGGTCGACCCCACAGACGCATTCATAAATTTTAACATGCTGTTCATTCAAAACGGGAATTTTCGCAAGTATAAATTAATATTATAATATATTAGCATAGTGTGTATATATAGGCATAGGTTAGGTTAGGTCAGGTGTTTAGGTTCTGTTGGTGATTATTTGTATTTGTAGTACGTGGGTGAAGCATTTATAGCGTTGTGATTCGAACAAAATTCGTCAGCGGAGGTCTGGAAACCTCCTCCGCCTGGGAGCAGCTGGATCACGTCCTGTTTTCGCGTTTTGGCTTTGCTACTGATGTTTGGCTTCCCTCTTCAACGGTCCACTTGTACGACGCCTGATGCACATATCGCCTTGGGTCACGGGGTTGTTGATAGACGTTTTTTTTTTGGCGTGTTCTGGCTGGTTCTCCCGGCGGGGTGACGGTGTTCGGGGGCCGGGAGTTGGCGGGTCTTGGTGGGCTCCTGGTGTGCTCTTAGCTGTGGTGGGCGGCTGGCTTCTGCTCTGCCGGGGAACACTGGATGACTTTTTGCGTTTTAGTTGGGGGCCGAGTTTTGGTTTTGCTACCTGGTGTTCTCTGTGTGGGGCGGGACCGGTGCTTGTTACCCTGAGGGACTCCTGGGACTCGCCAATCATCTGCCTTACTGTGCGTTTATTTGTCGTATGGCATATTAGTTTCTAGTGATTGGCGTCACTCGTTTCGCGATTAAGCTTGGCGTTTCACCTTTCCTGGCTTCGCGATTAACCCATCACTGGTTCGCCGGGGCGCATCCGATCCCACGATCGTCGTCGCCCCTGAATCGACAACAACAACAAACCACTGCTGCTTCAGGTGAGGACACCACACCACTAACGCTGCTTCAGGTGAGGACACCACACCACTAACGCTGCTTCAGGTGAGGACACCACACCACTAACGCTGCTTCAGGTGAGGACACCACACCACTAACGCTGCTTCAGGTGAGGGTTTCACACCACTCCTGCTGCTTCAGGGAAGGACACCAAACCTCTACTGCTGCGTCAGGTGAGGACACCATACCACCATGCTGCTTCAGTTAAGGGCACCATACCACGACTGAAGCTTTATATAAGGGGCTCCGCGGCGGTACCATCACTGCTTTAGGTTAAAGTGCTATGGAGTTGCGCCGTTAATTCATATATTCGGCAACTTTAGTAGACCGTGTGCATAACTTCTTGAAATACAATCCCACAGTGTGGGTAATTTAACTAAAATTTGGTTAGATTAAGATTATCTGGTTTTTATTTTTATTAAGTTTTTGCTTCAGTCTGAACTACCAACAATAGTTTACTGTTGTACTGAGTTCAACAATAAGTACTGAGTACTTGTTGAATACTGAGGTTTAAAGATAAAATTAATTATTTAATCATTTACTAAAACACTAAGTTATCTTGATTGTTAGCTAAATAATGAATAAACTGCTTTGCTGTTTTGAAGATACGAAGCCTAGAAGATGTGAGAGTGACACAGTACGTGACTTGAACCGACCACGAAGTTAATGGCAGCCGCCTGAGAACTTGAAAGTTTGTTTACTCTCCTCCTGTCGGTAAATTCTTCATTAATTTGTGAAATTTGAGTTGGGCACTGATCTCGGACGAGTCCGGACGATAGGTTAGCGCTCCACCTTGACCACTCATATTGTCAGCTTACTGTTTGTGCAGACGTGAGTGTGTAGCCACGTCTTTCAACCGATTATTCCAGTGATTCAGGAACACAACGTGAAAGAAGTGGACAGTTACAGTTGTTGGTGCAATCGTTTCAGGTGCTACTTAAGTCGTCTTGCTGCTAGAAGGGATGTACGTTGGTGCTTTTAAGAGGTCGTCGGTGATTAGTGTTGCATACTGAGAAAGGTGAGGATAGGTGTGTTGCTGATGCAGGCTGTTGTTGTTGTTGTTATTTTAGATTAGGTACTCAGAACGAAATGTCCATGTAGCACGGGCTATATGGACATAGTGAGTGAGTGAGCCCAGAATTGAGTTCGCATATTCGCAATAACCTTGTTACTGTGATATTTGGGTCAAAGTCTTAAACGGTGGTGGGGGTTTCCTCCTTTTCTCCGTTTTTTCCCCTTCTGTTTTAGCGCACTGGTTTTTGTTTTGTTTTAATAACACTATCTTTATAGCTGATATAGATGCACATTGTTCATTAGTGTGTCTCATTCTTCACTGTTTTTCTAATCTTTGTAGTCGTTGCGGATTTTGCATCTAATGCAGCTGCTCTCGGTGTATTAATGTTGAGTTTGATGCACAGGGCTTCAGTTGCTTCACATTTCAGTAAGTAATGCAATAGTGGCGCCTCTGCATCTGTTACATGACACTCTTAAACTATTGAGTTTATTATCTCTCAGCAGCACTTGTAACGAAGTCTGAGTCTGTGTATTGCTACTGCAATGCGATGAGGATTTTACAGCTTATATATATATATATATATATATATATATATATATATATATATATATATATATATATATATATATATATATATATATATATATATATATATATATATATATGCGAACAAGCCAGAATGGTCCCCTGGACAATATGCAACTGAAAACTCACACCCCAGAAGTGACTCGAACCCATACTCCCAGAAGCAACGCAACTGGTATGTACAAGACGCCTTAATCCACTTGACCATCACGACCGGACATAATGAGGTGATAGCCGAGGCTATTTGAACCACCCCACCGCCGGCACTCGGATAGTTATCTTGGGCATAGCATTTTACCAAATCACCTCATTCTTAGGGGCACACGTGAGGAACACAAATGCGAACAAGCCAGAATGGTCCCCTGGACAATATGCAACTGAAAACTCACACCCCAGAAGTGACTCGAACCCATACTCCCAGAAGCAACGCAACTGGTATGTACAAGACGCCTTAATCCACTTGACCATCACGACCGGACATAATGAGGTGATAGCCGAGGCTATTTGAACCACCCCACCGCCGGCACTCGGATAGTTATCTTGGGCATAGCATTTTACCAAATCACCTCATTCTTAGGGGCACACGTGAGGAACACAAATGCGAACAAGCCAGAATGGTCCCCTGGACAATATGCAACTGAAAACTCACACCCCAGAAGTGACTCGAACCCATACTCCCAGAAGCAACGCAACTGGTATGTACAAGACGCCTTAATCCACTTGACCATCACGACCGGACATAATGAGGTGATAGCCGAGGCTATTTGAACCACCCCACCGCCGGCACTCGGATAGTTTTCTTGGGCATAGCATTTTACCAAATCACCTCATTCTTAGGGGCACACGTGAGGAACACAAATGCGAACAAGCCAGAATGGTCCCCTGGACAATATGCAACTGAAAACTCACACCCCAGAAGTGACTCGAACCCATACTCCCAGAAGCAACGCAACTGGTATGTATAAGACGCCTTAATCCACTTGACCATCACGACCGGACATAATGAGGTGATAGCCGAGCCTATTTGAACCA